AAAAAAAAAAGTTAGCCATGTTTGCTTACACACACACACATACATATATCTATATATATGGTAACTCTATATTTATTCCTCATGTGATTGTAGGCCTGCCTTTGCTCTCTCATAATACAAGATGATGACCACAAACAAGGATTTCTAGATTTGCAGCAGAAATACTGTCTTGCTGGCTATCATTCTGTTATAATAGATTGTAATTCCCAGGTCAGGAAAAAAATTTTTTTGGATGTTGTTCAGTGCCAGCTTTGTTAGTGTCGTTCAATTAACACTTAAAATACTGATAATAGCAAAAGGAAAAATGAAGAACGATCACAAAATTAAATTATAAACATAAGTAGTTGAGCTGGAATTCTTACAAGACTCAGTTATTTTGCAAGAGTTTTAGTGCTATTTATTTCATTTATGCTGGAATGGGATTTTTTTTTTTCCCTCTCATACATCTTGAACTTCCATTTGTCATTTTGACTGATGACAAAAAGTTACCAGATCTTGAAGAAAGTACAATTCTGTTTCTGCTTGTGTTTCTGAGAAATTCTTGCTCTGTTGGAACTAAAGCTCCCTTGCACATATGTTCTTAAAACAATAACTTAACCTCAAATGTTTTAGTAATATACTTTATAGCATCTTGTGTTTGAAAAAAAAAAAAAAAAAAGTGGAACAGATGACATAATTTAGTGATTAAAACACAAAATGTGTTCTATTGCCATGTTGGCTGCGATACCCTTGTAACTCTTAGTGAAAGGTTCTCAAAATTGCAGAAAATAATTCTTTTTTATAATTTATATGCATATTTGTTAGAAGTATCAGAGATAAGTGATTAATACAGGAAATCACTCTTGTTCTGTTGTTCTCTACTGCTGAGTTATGCTAAACTAATTTTAATGCAACTGGCTAAATTGTCTTATCACAGTACCTGTATTCTATTGGAATGGACAAATATTTGAAAGAAGATTCATAATAATGTGTTCTGTCCTCCATTTACCAGAGTTGTGCTTGAAATAGAACACCAGGAGTTTCTCTAAATTTCCAGTAACCATGACAACTGTTACTTTAGTGTTATTAACCCAATGTAATTTAGTAGGGTAGGTTGCTAGAAGTAATTTTTTTAGCTACATTGAGATGATACTTATTATGGTAATTCTAAATAATATTTAAAATTTTTATTTAAAAATCACTTAGTCATAATACTGAAATATGCTCTGTACCTTGTGGATTTGGTTTTTTTAGTGAGAGCCTCACTTTGTGCACTTTTTTGGGGGTCTTGTCCAAGGCCCCTGGGTGAGTCTGAGGCAGAGTTGTCATTGAAACTGTACGTTGCTGGTTGCCACGCAACTGTTCAATTCTTAGGGCTAAATGGATCTAAGATTTTGATCCATACAGTTTCCTCCCTTTTTACCCCTTCAGTGTGTTTTATACACTTACACCTGCACTCTTTCTCTGTAGCTATTTCTTCTTCGTTCCTAGGATTAGGGTATTTTATTCCTCGTAAAACTTGGTGTAAAGAGGAAGACAGATGTACTTGTGAACTTGCTCAAGTGCTCTGCATTCTGTGGATGATCCGAGATGTGTGGGTTTAATTCTGATTTATTTTAAAAAAAAAAAGTAGGTAATTTTTATTGCCATCATGTAATAACAAAAACAATGTGGGCAGGAAAATGCATTTTTTAAAAAACTCTGCACACGTTGAAAATGAGGTGGATTCAAGCTGAAAGTAAAGATGATATATTGAGTCTGAATGGAAAAAATAAACCATTACCTCAATTTAAGGATGTACCCACATTGAAAATTAATCCATTTTAAAAGACTAAAGAAATTAGACACAACGAGAATCTTATCCTGTTCTCTTGTATAGTTATCTTTTAATGTATAGTGGGGCAAAAAGGGAGTCAAATGACATTCATAGCATCAAACATTTTGCTCTTTTCTTGCACAAAGTACCAGGCAATGGAAAATCTTGTCCGATGTGATCTAATTTAAAATATGTAAATGAATGCAGGTAGGAAAAACAATACAAGTAATTACCTTTAAATGGATGGAAGAACAGACATGTCAGAAGTAATAGGAATTTTGTTTGAACATTTCAGTTTTTAAGGAAGCAACTTCTTTGAACTGTTTTCAGTTTATTTTCATTGCAATTTAAATTATTTTCCCAAATCACTGTGTTGGCGTTTATCTGATAGCTGACATATCTTACCATTTGTACATCAGTACTGCTGAGGATAACAAATATTACTATGCCTAAGCTAGACAGCTGAAAGATAGATTGGCTGTAGCTTTGTTTGCTGGACCATTTTCTCTCTCTCTGCATTTTGTCTGCAAGTGAATCACTAGAAAAACAGGCTTTGTAGGTTCTTTACAGGCTAATACTGAGATTTATATCAGTACGTTTGAGCCTGTTAACTAGTTCATACTTTTGAAACCTTGGATGAAATTTCATCAAACAGAAATGTCATAGCTTTATTATAAAGATACATACACAGGAGGCTAGAATTTTGTTAGTAATTTCTCATTATGTCCATGCAAATTTGTACAACTAACTTGCATGTAAGAGATGACATCCACAAAGTAATAGTGTCCAGATTGCATATGGAATGCCTTTTGTCATTGCAGAATGACATGCATGTGCACCCACACTGTGTGCCATGAACAGGTCTGTTCTTCAAGGAGCTGGGTCTGTAGTGGTCTTACCATCTTTTGGAAAACTGTGAGGGTTAATATTTAAAAATGTAGTGTGGTCATAAGTACAGGGGCTTCCCAGGCACCTTGAGCCTGACATACACCTTGAAAATCCTATTTTCAGATGGCGCTTAACCCTGGTCACACATAAAACTCGGATTTGCCAAAGATTCACTTCAGATTTGACAGTGCTGAACTCAAGTCCATTTATGCCTGCTTCATCTACTTGGTCATCTAGGCAGTGTTTTTAAGCAGTGCTTTAAGAGATTGTTCACCACCAAAGATGAGATTTCTTTAATGAATTATTTCAGAGGTTAAAATACTCACTCTAGGGTTCAGGAGGCAGGTGTGGAGAACTACCTTTTCTACTTGAGAAGACTTGAAACCTTGTGTGTGTATGTAGAGTTGGGACTGTTTGGCCTAGAGAAGAGGAAGCTCAGGAGGATGTCATCAATGTATATAAAAATCTGAAGGGAAACTGCAAAGAGGTTGGAGCCAGGCACTTTCCACTGGTGACCAGTGACAGGACCAGAGACAAGGGGCACAAACTGAAACAGTTTTTTGCTGTGAGGGTGACCAAGCAGTGGCATAGGCTGCCCAGAGAGGTTGTAGAGTCTCCATCCTTGGAGATACCCAAAAGCTGTCTGGATAGGGTCCTGGGCAGCTGGCTGTAGGTGACGTTGCTTGAGCAGGGGCTTGGACAGGATAAACTGTGGAGGTCCATTTCAACATCAGCCATTCTCTGGTTTGGTATTGCTTCCCAATAAAGTGTCCTGACACCTGATTTTCAGGCTACATGAAGGTGCCTTTATTCCTTCAGCCAAAGCAGCACTTTAAAACAGTAAATACTAGCTTGCAAAAGAAAGAAAAAAGACATTGCAAGAGTTGCTGTGACATTATCATGTAGAAGATTGGGCTAACCATAAAGAGTGAAGTCCAGGGTTTAAAATGAACATCCATTGGAATGGGTACTGCAGTATGGGTCCTTTCTCCAATGAATTTGCCCTAAACATAAGGCTAGAGAGACTTAGTTGGTATCACTCCAGCTTAACGTACATTTAATTGCTTCACAGAAAGTAGAATGACTCTGAAAAGGGGGACTGAAAATAATCACACTGAGCTGGCAAGTAGTTGGATAGCTCTCTGGGGCCATCAGGGAAGATTGAACTCGTGCTCCTTCTGTCCTGTTTGAAGGTCTGAACTCGTGAACTATTGGCTAAAAGAGAAAACCAGTGCTACCTTGCTCGAGTTGTCTTCTGGAAGAGATGGCAGCTCCCTCTGCCTCTTGCAGTGTCTCCTTTCCTGTGTTGTAAATGTGCTTCTGAGCAGCTGTGTACTTTACAGGTTACGTATCACTACTGAAAGATGCAATATGTAGATTTTAATTTAGATTTCCTTTGTGAATCTCTCAATAAATCCTTCTTAGAAAGACTTGATTGCCAGCAAAACTCCCCAACAGCAGTAAGAATCATGACTGTACCTGCTTTTAAAGGCCAGCTATAGAAGATGTTCAAATATAAGACTTTATGAGAATCTGATTTTCAAACATGAGTGAAATTTTATTACAGTGTCTTTAATGAATTGGCATTCACTTTAAAGATAAAAGGGATAATGGGGAAGGGGGGGGGATTGATTATACATGACACAATGACACTTCCACAAGCTGTTACGAGAGTATTTCTTATTCTGATTAAATCTCTTGGCTGAGTTTACAGATGTTTTCCTTTCTTTTACATGTTTTTCTGGCTACACTGTCCATCTTAGCTTTTGTAGCAGGATGTTCTTTGAAGCTGGATCTTTTACTGTGTTGTTATTGAGTTGAGAAAGAAACCTCTGATTGTGACTGAGATAGGTGGTAGATTCTGCAGCAAAAACAATTAACGTGACTATTAAGAAGACGCTTTTTAAAGTAAGGGTCTAACTCTGTTTATTCCTGTCTGCACTGTCCAGAAGGACATTGTGCACAACAGCTGTTGGAAGCTGCATTTAAAGAAGAGTTTTCATTTGGTTTACAAATTAATCGTCAGTGTTTTGGGCCTTGGGTGGAAATGTGAGCTCACTCTAGGCCTTGGTTGCACAGGCAGATTCAAGAGATTGTTTTCAGGGATTCCTTTTTTTAGATGGTAATTCATCTGGTTCTTGCCTATATGTGTTCTGAACAGCTATGGGGACCTTCTGATCCACGCCTACAAAAGTTGTTTTATCATTCCTGTGGCTGGGGATAGATTTCTCTGAAACAGTTTGTGTTGACATCTTGACTTCCAACAGTTTACATCTTTTTCTTTTTTTTTTTTCTTTTTTTAAATCTTTTTCTTCAGGTGCAGAAACCTTACATTTCCTGACAGGCTTCCTGAGGTCAGCATTGTATTCATATTTGTTAATGAAGCGCTCTCGGTGATTCTGCGCTCCATTCATTCAGCCATTGACCGGACTCCTGCTCACCTCCTCAAAGAGATTATTTTAGTTGATGATAACAGTAATAACGGTAAGAGATTTTTTGTTCTTTTTATTTTTTTCTGCTCTTCTAAAGGTTGGATCATAAATGAGATCCTTGAATTTTAGCTCCTGCTCATCCCATTGGCATTTCAAATGTTGTCAGTGTATTTTCTCCCTTCTTCATCCCGGTCTTGCTGGGCTGTCTTCAAATATGCCCAAGTGGGGCATGTTAAAAAGAGTGCATACAAAGATAGGATGCTGTTTTTATACATTTAAGGTGTCTGGTAAGCAGAATTTTGAGTGTAACAGTAGATTAGAGACCTAAGAAGTTTTAGTACTTTAGGGTGCTTTCAAGATTATATGCTTTCTGTGCTCTTCCTGTTTCAGTTGTGTGATTGCATGCGTGTACCTTTTGTATAAAACATCTTTCCATGTTTCTTAGACATCTCCTTTAGATTTCCAGTTCTCCTCACCTCTCCTCATTGGCAGCATTTACCTCACTGCTTTTCTACTGTATGTACTCATATTTTGCTTGCCATGATCTGAAGGACTGTACTGCCCATGTCTGATTGCTCAGTGCTACCTAGGTGTTTGTCAATGAGGCTGTGCCGGGCATTATTTACAAGTCTTATTTTCTGGTAACTTTAGTGAAGAAATTTTAATAAGCACAGAATGCTGAACATAAAGAAAAATTTTGCTCTGCTGGGAGGTTAATTGTGCATTCCTAAAATACAAGGCAAATCTGAATTTATCCCGTTGAAGGAAAATGCTGAACAAAGGGTTTCTCTTATCCTTGCCATCATTACAGCTGTTATGTGATCCCTGTGGCCAGATCCTGTGACTCGCTGCTGATCATAAATGTATCTCAGATTTGTGCAGAAAAGCAACTTACTGGGGAGCAAAGAAATAAGTTCCCCACCCCAGGCTATGCACTTCAGGATTCATGCATTGTTATTCTTAGTTTATGGCACAATTTATGAAGTAGCAATGCAAAGAAGTAAACGAAAAATCATATGAAACAGTAATCTATGAGAAAAGTAAAAGAAAAAAACAGACAACAAAATCAGCATACATACACACACACATATGTGTGATTCAGAAACATCTTGTGAACTGAGGTAGACTTCTGGTTTGCTTCAGCATGTAGTTCAGTCATTTGATGTGGTTTTACTGATCTACTCTTGCTGGCCTTAATTTTTTCCCACTCCCCCCTGCAATACGTGGCAGTTTGATGGGAAGGGGGAAATTGAAATACAGCTTTGATTGGTGGACTTGAACTCTAGAACGTGTTTGTAGAAATTAATTCCTGCATCTCTCAGTTACAGTTTCAGGTACAGTTACTGTGATGCCAGGAGCTCAATGAATCTGAATGGCCATTGGTGCTGCAGGGCCTGAGGCCTCTGGATGTGGAGGAACTGCCCACAAGGCAGCCATAGAAAAAAAAAAAAATCTGGCTGAAAAAAGATTTCTAGAATTTGAGTCTAATTTTCTATAATTCACAGACAATTATTCCATTGGGCACATTGCAGAACAATGTTGGAAGCATCAGTGCTTCTGAGAGCCTGTCATCATTGTGACGAGCTCACTGACAAATACCCTTTCCACTGTGCTCTGTGGGCTTGTCAAAATTACTCTTTTTCATTATTTCTTACCTGAAATAGACAAGAAATCACATGAACCACTTAATCTTTCAGGAAGACCTGTTGAGTTGCTTTTTGTGTTGATACCAGTGTTGGTACTGTATAGTATCATATTTTTATAGCTGGCTGTGCCTTTTATTCAGGCTTGCCTTTCTTACCTACCAGTGCCTTAAATCCTTAGGTTCCTGGCCCCAAACAGGAAGACAGAAATTGAGGAAGGTCACCTTTGGTTTGCCTGTCTTGACTTAGTGTTACATGTCATTCTGTACAAATCACGCTGTGCAGGGTGACACTTCGTCTCCTAGAAAAATTCAGCTCTCTCCAGGAATTTCTGATGCTCCTCTAACCCTTTCTTTGGCATCTCTTCCCTGCAGTAGTAAATTAGATTCCTACAGTCCTCTTTATCCCATAATGTATGCTGAAGACCTGGTAATAGGCATCCATTTGGAGAGGATAGATGTTTGGTAGGAAAGGGAGCGATTGTAAAGATGATTTATGGGCTTTTCTATTATTAGTTTAAATCCTGAAATATTTATTTTACAATTTACTTTTGCTGTTACAATATTCTGTTTTCATTTTTTTTCTCCCTTCTAGCATTGCTGAAACTAATCCTTTATATTTAGTGTCATTCTATGTTTTTGTTAGTAGCTCTTTAGCTCGCCAGTGTTGCTGCTTGTAAGATAAGTGGGTTACTCTGGGTTTCCCTGTAACGTTACCTGAGGGGGCAGAAGCTTGCTTTGTGCTTGCATCTGGCTCCAGCCTCTGCTTCTCACAGAGACCTGTCAGAATCCTAATTATAAGCAGTATGTTTACTCTCAGGCTTTCGCTGGGGATGGCAACTTTTCTAACTCTGTGTAAGATTTTTATTTTTATTTTTTTTCCTGTGATGCCACAGCCATGGATTTCACAGGCAAGAAACATCCACACTATGGGAAGTGACTAGAAAGAAAAAGTGAGAACAGAGATTAGGCAGAGTGCAAATGAACACGTTTTTTATTTTGAGTCTCTTGTGCTATTCACATAGCACAGTGTGAATAAAAGTAAAATAATAGTAAAAGCAGATATGGTGATTGGCACTAGAGGACGGCACCAAAATTTCGTGCTTCCTGCTTCTGAAGGGAAACTGGTAAATTGGTATAAATTCTTGCTGTGGGCCAGATTCTGCATCTAGCAATGAATACCTGAATTCACCTCTAATTTGAGGTGATCTCTGTTTTAGAAAAGAACAGTGGCAGAACTAGTTGCTTTTTAAAATTCCAAAAGGCTAATTTCAGAAACCGTATATTCAAGTGTATGGACAAAGTCTGTATGTTTGTCTTGAACAGTATAAGCTATAGTATTTTATTTCATGCACTTCAGGGTATGTCAAGCAAATTATCTATGGCTTTCTCTAAACTTCAGTGCCGTTTTTCAAGTTCCCAATTATGTTTCAGGAGACCACAATTAATGTCTTTGTGAAGTTTCCCTTTTTTTTAAGTAAACATTTCAAGTTAGGAAACTGTGGAAATGCCAGTGTGTGCCATTTAAAAGCAGAAAATAGATTTGACAGATCCCAAAATTTTGATTCTTTATTTTAATCAAGCCATTTGCATGGCTTAATGTGTGTATTTCACCATACCATCTTTTTCAGTGGAATTCTAAGCATAACACTAAAATGTTGTTAGGTACATTAGTATTAAAATTTAATTTAATTGAAAGTTTTAAAAAGTGCATTTCAGTGACTGCCTGTGTGCTGTATAATGAGAACAAAAGATTAATGAAAAAAAACCCCAACCCGAATATCAGTGTTGTTCATTTGGGTCTCGTTTGCATTGGTGTGAAATAGAGCAACTGCACTGATTTCAGCTGTTTTACTCTAGTTTTAAGTGCTGTCTGTCAGATAAGAATCTTTCCCATCTTCCTCAGAAGCATTGTTTAGTTTTCAGAGATAATAGACTCATTAGTTTATAACTTGGCAATAAAATAATTTACTTATTTTAGCCTTCAGAAGTAGCAGAGTTTTCCAGCTGACTCAATGCAATTGAGGGGAGGAATTTGCAGAAAAGATACTTTAAAAAAAACTTCAAGTGACCATGCCCACGACTGCTGGTAATTAATTAGAGCTCAGAAATGTATTTAGAAAAGGCGTTGCCTGACCTGGAGACTACTGGCATAGAGTTTTGTTCACACTCTGCTTGTTGCATCCTGCCCTCTGGGGACAGGGTGGGGACCTTCTGTGCCACTGGGGTCCTGTCTCGGCTTTTGAGTCTTTTTGTTGGCACGGAGCCCTGCTGTATTATGAAGCACCTCTTGAAGATGTAATTTATGTTGATTTGAAATCTCTCTAAAAAACTCATTGTTAACCATGATGTGTTCAGCTTCATGAGGAAGCAGTATGCATTAATGTGTCCAGAGTATGCCTTACAATATTTTGTATTATAGCAGTAATTCTTATTCTCTATGTCATTTTTTCATATTAAAGTTAATAAGAAATGTTGCAGTAGAGGCTCAGATTTCATAAGGTTTCTTCCTTTTTCTTTGAATCATTACTTATGAATGAAATATTCTAATGTGTTGAGTTTAATGATTCTCATTTTGTCCTGAGATTTCCATGATGACGGCTATTGAACCGCAGTAATAATGCGGGATATCACAGGATGCTAATTTTATGACTTGCAGTGTTGGAGAGAAATTAGCACAGACTGGTAGAAAGTGGGTCAGATGCAACTGTATCACCTTTGAGAGATTTGCAACATTGTCCTTAAAACACTGAATAAAAAGAAGCTTTTCAAAAAGCAGCCAGAGCTTTTCATTAGAAAGATATATTTCTTTGGTTATTTTTAAGATATATTTGGGAATAGAAGATTGTCTGGTTTTTTTTGTTCTTTACAAAAGCAGTGATGAATAAATCTCAGAAGTACTGTTCAAAAGCATGCTAGGTTCCATATTACAGCATCATTTGAAGACTCTTACTTGTAGACCACACAACTATGAGTGTTGATTTTAAAAACCTATTAATAACAATCTCATAAAGAAAACTTTAGGAATTGCTGCCCTTCTGTTTGGCTTCTTGTTCTCTTACCTCAGTGCCAGCAAAATTCAAAGGCAAATAAAAACATTTAAAAACAAGGGAAAAAACAGACTTTGTTCAAACCTGCATTCACTTTTGGGCCATGGTTTATGCATTGTGAAGACTTTGCTTTATCTGCCTCGATTAATTTTTCCCATTGGCTAAAGGTCTTGGTGCTGAAATCCTTATTGTTGCACAGCCTTTGCACAAGCGAACTTTCAGTAGTGTTGGCAGGGACTGACATGAAAGAGGGTGAGTAATGCTCGTTAGCAATCAGATGCTAAACAGCATATGTTTATGTATAGACCAGGAAATCTATCTGCCGTAGATTTGAGAACGTTAGCTGTTGTTACAAACTGT